AGTAACACTAACCAGAGTAATGAAGCATCGCTGCTGAAGCACAGGGCTGTTAATGCAAGACCCTCGACAGCTGTAATAATGTTGTTATGCGGCAAAAGCTTAGTAAATAATTTCTTTAAATATAAAAGAAAAGTGTTTTCAAATATTTTAGTGAGTAGCCGACGGTGCAAAGCAGCCACTCAGCCACCCAAAATTTTGTTCTTTGGCACTGATAATTTTTCACTGCCGAGTTTAAAAAAGTTGCACCTGAACAACTTTGACGTAAGCGTAGTCACCTCCTTCAAGTGCCCCGCGAACTGTGTGCGCAGCTACGCCGAACAGGAAAAACTTGCCCTCTACCGCTGGCCAATATCGAAGGAGCAATGTGCCGCCTACGAGCTAGGCGTAGTGGTATCGTTTGGTCATCTGATACCTTTACACATAATAAACGCGCTCTCCCGCGGCATTATCAATGTTCATGCTAGCTTGCTGCCCCGATGGCGCGGTGCTGCGCCCATCATGTATGCCATAATGGAGGGGGATGCCAAGACTGGCATTACCATAATGAAGATAGCTCCGCATCAATTCGACATTGGCCCTGTAAGGAGAACTTCGGCATGAAGTCTACTATTTCGTTTAACTCACGTGGTCTAGCTTTCAGATATTAGCCCAAAGGGAGATGACCATTAGAAAGGATATATATATGCCAGAGTTGCATGCTGCCTTGTCGCATTTGGGTGCCGATTTGCTTGTCGACACGGTGAACAACTTGGATGAGAGAGTCTTGAATGCGTCTCCTCAAAACGATGCAGATGCCACTTATGGTAAACGTCCATGTATCCAGATATCCAAGTCATTCGTATAATCAATTATTTTACAGCACCGAAGATTACGTCAAAGATCACAGAGGTTCGATGGTCACAGCAAACCTCCATGGAGCTGTTTGCCAGGTATCGTGCACTCTATGGATTTAAGAATCTATCTACCTCCTTTTTGGGCAAAGCTGTGCAGCTACTGGAGCTAAGGCCCCTTGAAATTCGATTGCCTGCGTCTACAGTTCTTTCCCCGGGCTCTTTTTACTTCCATCGTCTGCGCAAATCGCTTATAATCGGTTGTGCACACGAAACCCAGCTGGAGGTGCTGCAACTGCGGGTCGAGGGCAAGAAGCCAATGAGCGCTCATGATTTTAGCAATGGGTTTCTCAAGCGGGCACAATCGTTGCAGTTCACACAAAATAAATTAGTTAATTGTTAACAAATAAAACGGTTTTTATTATTGATAAGGATGCCTTCTAAGCCAGGTTGGACGGCTTAACTTCTTTGGTGTCCGAGGATTGCTGTGTCGACTTCTGCAGCAGGTTCTTAGTGAACCACATGGGACGAGGCTTCTTCATTTCAACTATGCGTTTGCCGGAAGCAGCATCCGTCGTTTGATCTGCCGTCTCTCCCTCGTACAAAATGATCACTTCTTGCTCGACAGGCTCCAGCCCTAATTGTGCTTGTATTTTATCCTGCATGAGCTGCGTTTCCTGTCGGACTTTGTCATAGCAGTGAGCTGTTAAGAAAAATCATTTATGTAACTACGAGTTTGCTATAGGGGCAACACATCTTACGGCACAGAAGACCCAATTCGTGATCGTGACCACAGTGCTGACAGGAACGTAGATTCCTCTTCTCTTTCAACGGCTTCCACACATACTCAGGATAGCCGAATTTGCGGTTTAATCGTTTCTCCACACTGCGCCGGTGCTTTGGCACAGCCCAGAGCATGCCATCGCCAATGAGGTCTTTCAGACTGAAGCTTTGTGATGTTCTGGTGGTTGGACTGCTAGGTTGGTGCACTAAATAGGCCAAGGCGGGCGGGGGTCCGCCATGGGGCAAGAACAGTCGTTCCAAATGATTAACAAAGTTTGCAATTGATATAAACAAATTACGAGACATGGTTAAGCCGAAATTATAGAAGTAGATTTATGTAAATGTAGTGATGGCAGCGGCTGTTATCGAAAATCCAGTGCCATATATTGCACGTCTATCGGTAAACTCTATAGCTAATTTGCTTAATTTAAATAGATCATGAAGGCAAAATGCATAGAGTTTTTTTTAAAGATATATGTTGGTTATTTAGGTGAATCATTATAAATTGTGATAAGCCGTTGTTATTTTAATTTTCATTTAATAACTATTGCACTTGTGGAAACCGATATAATCGATACAATCAGCGTGCACATCAGCTGATTGGCAGTGTAAGGTAAGTTGTCAGCTCTGGTTTTCCTAGTCGGCGGCACGCACAGCTGTTATTTCATTATTACGTCAAAACAAAAAGTGTGTGGTGCCGAAATATATAAATGTGTTAAATGAAAAGCGAGATAAACATTTAAAAGAAAGCTTAAAGGAAAGCTGTATGAAAAGCTTTTAAGGTAGCAGGGTACACGTGAAAACATGATGTTGATGGTCGCGCAACAGGCGTCTTGACAGACATTGGGCGCAGGAAACTGAACTGCAGACAATCGTCCAAGGTTGAATACAGTGCATCCCAAACTGCTTGATAGACATGCAGTTTTCATCTGCCGCCGAATCTTAAATCCCCACCAACGTCAAGTTCAAAATCACTGCGCTCGGGCGTTCTCTTCGGCTGACACTCGTATTTCAACACACGAGCACAGAAACTCACCACGCTCAAAGCGACGACCGCGCGCAGGCGTAGTAAGCTACGTGCGCAGACAGCGGTAAAACGCGGAACACTTCGCTGAAGCTGCTGCAGTTGGACGCAAGCAACGCGCTTTGTCCGTCTCCTCAACAATCTCGTCCCGTCGAAGTTCGCCAATCCGCGTGTGTGCATGTCTGTCACCATATCTCTGCATCCATCTGAGTAACTGTAGCCGTAGCCGTAGCTGTAGCTGTGTTGTCTTTTAGCGGTTCGAAACCCATGCCTAGAATAATGCTGTTCAAAGTTTGACAACAATTTTGTTCACGTTTCATCAAGTTTTGCAGTTTTGCAGTGCAATCGCAACAGTAAGGGCTTAAGTTCACGCTTAACGCTAGGCATTTGTTTTCAGCCGACAAATAGAAAACCCAAATCAACCGAAATCAAAATCAAAACAAACCAAAACAAAATAAAACGATATAAACAAAATGGCCTGCTTAAGTACTTCCGGTCGCGTCGCGTGCGGTTCGCGTAGCCACAAGCTGATCTGTCGCCTATTCCTGAACCACAGCCCGCACAGTCGGCAGAGCAGCAGCCAGCTGCTGACGGGCGACACCACGGCAGGACACCCAAGGGAATACAGAGCAACGCCCAATCAGCAGCTGGCTCGCAGCTTTCATGGATTATCTCTCGGCATTAACCAGGATTACCTCAGTCTGCTGGTGAGTAGAAAAAGTGGCGGCAATGACATCAGCTGCAACACCCAGTGGCCTCACACTCGTTGGCCCCCAACCCGTTTAGCGGGCATTTAACAAAAGTGCATTGCGCATGCGCGCAGAGTGTTTACCGCTAATGCGGCTGCGTGACTTCGGATTTTTTCTTTCTTTCTCTTTCATTTTTTCGCTTTTCATTTCGCTGCTGCGAAGCCAAAGCCAAAGCCAAAGCCAAAAGAAAATGAAAGTGAAATTGTTGCTTGGCAGTGGCTCTGGCTCTGGCTCTGTCTGTGGCTTGCTTTTTGGCCATTGCTTTTGTGCAGGCAGCGTGAAGAAGCAGAAAGCAAAAGGCCGTCGACAACAGTTGCCAGACATTGAAGTTGTTGCTGCTGCTGCTGTGCATGCAGCGCAGCAATGAGCGCTGCTGCCTGTGCCTCTGCCACTGCCGCTGCCGCTGCCGCCGCCTGCGTCTCTGTTCCGAAGCCTCTTTTGCTGATTTTGTTTGGCGGAAGCCTTCGTGCTCATTTATTTATTGTGTTTATGTTGCACTTTTTTTGGTCTTGTTATTTTTATTTGCAAGTTGAAATATTTTTTCATTTTTATATTTACACACACACATACATACGTATATACTTATTTTTTTCCTATAATATTTTCTAATGCTGTCATTCGTTTCATGCCTTTATCTTTTCTCTTTTCTTCTCATTTCGCTGAAAACAGAAATTGTTGTTATGCAACTTCTTTTGCTTTCATATATGCACATACATATATGTATATTTATTTATTATTGTTTATCGCTACAAAAGTTTAACAGCTGTTTGTGAAGTCTAAGCACGGCACAGTGGCTCTGAAACCTCAAAGCACCAGCCCATGTCAAACTGTGCAAGCAACAAGGGCTCGTTCTGTGGCATTGTTTTCACATTTTTTTAAAGACCCTGATGTCTTTGTAGCTTTTTAGATTCAAATAGGTTTGTTATACTCGCAAAAAAAATCAATAAAATCATTGGAAAATTCAGTATAAAAAGAAATCAGACACCTTGTCGTATACTTGATATTTCTGTTTCCATTCTTTATTGAGCGCGTTGCCTTGGATATGCGCGGGCTTAAAACATTTTAACACTGCACAATTAGTGCATAATTGATGCTATTTTCAGTTTATTGTTTTATGGCACGCAATTTTCGCTCGCCTGCGTATGGCCCTGGATGAGAACTTGAGGTTTGGCTTAATGGCTTAATGCCAGTGCACTTTTCGCAGTCCACAATCGTCAGTCCAATGCATTTGTGCGGCGCATTGTTAGGGCTATAAAATGCGATGTAAATAGTATGCTTAATACTGTTAACGCCTTTCAAGGTCTTGGCATAAATTAACAATATTTATTTTCGAATCTATGCATGCATATGTGATACAAGTGTGTGTGTGTGTGTATGTGTGTGAATTAAACTGGCCGTGCCCGTGTTTGTGTGTGTTGGGGTCTCTGTGCGCGCAAGTGGTATCAAAGGTAAGAAGGGCAATTGCCCATAAAAATCACATTTCAATTAACTCCTTTGACCCAATGCTCGTTTAACTTGTTAAGTAAAACAGTAATTTATTAAATGACTCTATATAAATTATTAGAAAAGTGAAATAAGCTAAATTAATGCTCAAAACGAACTTTGTATGCAGGCGACGTTGTGGGATTATTTATGCATTTTACTGCTTGAAATTTGGTTAAACCAAATAAAAATTCATTCAACGCCAATTGGTTGTACGCTTAGCACACACTCGCATACCTGAGACAGTGATACGTTCATCTAACTCTATCATAGGTAAACAATAAACAAAACGCAAATAGAAAGCGCACGTCGCAGCAGCAGCGCCGCGGCCCGCAGTGGCAGCGGCAATACTAGCCAAAAAAAATAACAAAAATAAAAAATTAAGAAAAAAAACCGCCAACAATAGTCTTCAATAGCAACAACAGTTATATGCATGTGTATGTATATATGTATATATGTGAAACTCACTTGACTTTCATCTTCATTTCATTTGTTTAGCAGCGACGTCAGCGTCACCGTGAGCGTCGCAGTCGCAGTCGCAGTCGCAGTCGCAGTCGCTACCGCCTCTCATCCAAGTTGGCATTGTTTTTGGCCCAAAATTGTATTGAGAGTCGAATACATGAATATACATATCTGCATGGGCATATGCATATACATATGTGTGTACATTCCTATACACATATGCATGGTGCAAATAACTGTTCGTCTATGAATGCGCAACACGAAAACTCGAACTAACGGATTGACTTGAATTGGCCTTTATCATGATCGCCTCGTTTGCCCCGATATGTTTTATTTTCGAAATTACACGACTTAACAAATTTCATGAACTCTGCCTCCGCATGTATTCAATTTCGCTTCACTTTCGTTGCGAGCGCGAGAAATTCGCGCGGCGGGTTTAACGACTGCGTGCGAATTTGATAAGCTGTTTGAACTGTTTGATCAGTGTCATGCATGCCCCCAATATTTGCATATTGGCATTTGATGAGCTATAGAGCAAGTCGACAATAATATAATAACAAATGAAATGCATATATGGACGTCGTTAGGGCGAGAGCTTCTTTTGTCGGAATCGTGGTTTCGCAATCGGCATTCGGCGCTCGCTGGACCCAAATCCGAATCTCGATTGCTCGCGAAAGTGAAACCAATTCGACTTGCACGGTCTTGGACCTGTTTTTAATTTTATTTCAGCATTTGTGTTTATGCTATGTAAATTGTTTTGTTGCTCTTGGATTTTATTGTTTTTTTTATGTTATTTGTCTCTGTTTCATTGTCGAATATATGTAAATACATATATGAATGGGGATCAGACCTAGCCCAAAGAATTCTCCGTATAAATGTAAACTTAAGCTTACACCATTTTGTCAACGAAACTAATTAAGTATATTTATAAATTCATATTTATAAATTGTATATTCAGACATTCATGTTTGTAAGAATATATGAATATTAATACAAAAACGTGTTTATTGGATTTTAACAGAATATTAATGAAATTAAACAGATCATTGAGTTTCAATCATTATTATGACTATCATTATCCCA